CGTCGCCGCGTTCGCGTCCGCGTCCGCCCGCGCCCGCCGCCGTCGCGCCAACGCATCCGTCAACTCCCGTCGGGTCTCCATCAGCGCTCGCGCGCGCGCGCGCAGCGCCTCCAACGCCGCCGCGCGATCACCATCGTCCGCGCTCGCGCGCACGCGCGCGCGATGTCCTCGTCGTCGTCCCAGAGGTCCAATGCGCGCGACGCATCGATCGATCGTCGTCGTCGTCGTCGTCGTCGTCGTCGCGCGCCCACGTCCCGCGCACGCGCGCATCGTCCGCGCGCGCGACGTCCACGGCGCGCCGTTCGTCCGCGCCGTTCGTGCGCGCGCGGATGCCGACGGCGATGCGTGTCCCGTGGAATGCGTCGAGCGCTTGAATGCACGTCTTCATGAATGATGATGGAACGATGGAACGATGGATGGAACGATGGATGGAATGATGCGTGGATGGATGAACGCCTAAATGCGTGAACGCGTGAACGCACGAACGCACGAACGCGTGCGTACACGCGCGCGTGCATGCATGGATGCACCAATGCATGCATGCATGCATCGTACACGCATACAAGGACATGAATGCATGAATGCATGCATGCATGCACGCATGCAAGGACATGAATGCACGAATGCGTGCACGCATGCATACATCCATGCGTGCACGCGTACACGCACGCACGAATGCGTACACGCACGAACGCGTACACGCACGAACGCGTACACGCGCGCGCGCACGAAGACGTGCCGAGGTACAAGACACGTCACGCGCACGCATTCACCGGCGCGCGCGAACGATGGCGCTCGTGACGACGACGCCGATCGCGCGCGCGCGCGCGCGACCGCAGACGAGGCGTCGAACGCCGCGCGCGCGCGCGAGGGAGACGGAGGACGCGACGCGAGGGACGAATGAATACTCGAATGAAACGAAATTGCGAAGCGAGGCGCAAGCCCCGTTCCGCGTCGCGCGACAGTTCCTCTACGGTGGTCTGTGCGCGAGCGCGACGATCGGGCTCGGGATCGCGACGATACAAGGGGTCTCCGGGGCCATGGGGGCGCCGAACGCGCCGCCGATGGAGGCGTCGTTGGAAAACGTCGCGGTGGACGGCGTCGCGTTGGCGGCGTTCGGGACGCTGTATCGACGCGAGGACGACGCGCGGGCGCGACAGATGGCGCGGATCGGACGAGAGGAACGATTGGGGCGATTGCGGTGCGAATTGGGGGGGAATGGGAAGACGGTGCGACTTGAACAACTTCGCGGGTTCTCGCGCGTGGTCGTCGTCTCGGGCGACGCGGAGTACGTGAACGACGCGATCGCGGACGCGGAGGCGGTGCGAGAGGCGTTGATGGAGCGCGGGGTGTTGATCGTTCCCGTGTTGAACGGAGCGAGCGCGGACGGGGAGGTGGCGCCGGTGGGGGGGGAGGATCGAAAGTTTCGAGCGACGCCTCTGCGCGCGAACGAGTGGCTCGAATGGATTCGGGAGCAAAAGAGCATGGCCAAGGTCGGCGACGACGTCGGCGTCTACGTCGGTCTCCGCATGGATGGTCGCGTGCGGAGCTCAGGGACCGGTCGCGTTCCTTTCGCGCGTTTCGCCCAGGAATTGCCGCCGACGGACGGGTGGGGAGGCGCCCTGGACGGATTCGACGGCAGAGTCGGCGTCGATACGTAACGTCGCTTTCAAACCTACCTAGGTACATTGTGAGATAGTACAGCGCTCTTTATCCCCCATCATCGATACGGAAGACGCACGCGCACGGTTGCAAAGGCAAAGCCCGAGCGCGCGCACGCGTGTCGAGCGCCGATGATCACGTCCCGTCGCGGCGCCGTCGAGCGCCGCGTTCCCGTCGCCGCCGCCGCGCGACCGAGACGCCGCGGATTCATCCTGAAAATGCCTAGCATATCGCGCAATTCGTCAAAGTTGACATCTCTAAACAAGAGTTGACGCCGCGATCGCCCCGCTCTCGGTCTCGCTCTCGGTGGAACCGTGGTCCAGGACAGGCGGACGCTGAACTCGTACGGATTCATTCGGCGCGTCTCGACTTTAATCCCGACGGGGGCGTCCACCACGAAGAGTTCGATGTCCTCGCACTCAGGTGCGACGTCGCGAAGCGTCGACGTGGTCACGGCGTAGACCTCGACAGCTTCCGGATCCAGGGGCGCGACGATGGAGAAGTCGGAGAGCTCGAGTGAGATTCCAGGTTCGCGGAGGACGTCGGCGATGGCCCATCGCTCGCCCACCGGCGTGGACGGAAGTACACCGTCGGCGAGCGTCCTCAAACCGTCACCCCACAAAATATCACGCGCGAGCTCACGTTTTTCGCGCCAATACGGAAGCTCAGGGAGCAGATACGCCGTCATCGCCGCGTGCGCGACGATGGCGTCGAGCCGGTGCACGCCGCGGGTGCCCGCGATTACGTCGCACTCGCTCATGGGAACAATGGCGTGGCAATGCGTCGCACCGTTCCCGGCGGTGACGAGCACGCGCGGTGCGGTCGATCGATCGAAGTAATATCCGGCGTCTCTGAGTCCGCCCATGCCGTCGCGTTCGCCGGCGATGTAAAACGTCGGGATGGGGCTGAACCGAGCTCGGTCGGTGAAGAACTCTTGGAACAACTCGGCGCCGATGTCAGATCCCGTGAACGGGACGTCCGAACCGCTCGTGGGCGCGAGCGCGACGACGGCACTCACCCGTCCAGGAATAACGGATGCATCGAGCACTTGCGCGAGGTATTGCGCGATGGCGCCGCCGACTGAGAAGCCGACGACGCCGACGCGTTCGGTGCTCAGAATTCCGCTCGCCTCGAACGCGATATCCGACTCCACGAGCTCGTTGAGATGTCTCGACGCGTGCGTCATGAAATTGAGATATCGCGTCACGATTTCACGCAGATCCATCCCGTTCGAGGACGTCGTTCCCGGGAACAAACCGCCGCTGAATTCGCGAGCCGTGCTCGATCCGAACGCGCTCGGCTGCGCGACGGCAAAGCCGTTGGTCACGAGAGTTCGAATGACGGGCGCCAGAAGCCGACGCCATAGAGCGAACGTGAACCCGTGTATAGGAAACGCGAACACCACGAGCGGGGCTGGACTACCGGCGTCGATGGGGTAATCCAAGAACAGCTCGCCCATTTCTTCCCCGGCGCCGCGAGAAGGAACGGTCAACGTAAGGCTCCCGACATCGAACGGACCTTCCACGCCAAAATCCTCGAGCACGGCCGCGTTCACGGAGCTCGTGAGCGAAAACGATAAAAAGAGAAGGAGCGCCGCGCCCGCTCGCATGGCGCGCGTCACCATGTGTGGGACACATTACACATTGTGGTGTGGGACACACAAACAGCGTTCTGAACTAACACGTGTAACAACCAAGAATTTCCTAAGGATACATTTCTACTTCTTCCGAGATCCCACCGATACCTCGGCGACGACTGACGCGTCGTCGACATCTTCACCTCCGCGCTTCGTCGACGTGCGCGCCTCGTACACTTCTCGCGCGCGGCGCAAACCATCTGCGCCGCGCTGATATCTCCAAACCGCGTCCACCATGTCCCAAAACGTGAAATCTGGCCACAGCGTCTCGGTGAACACCAACGCCGCGAATCGACAGTTCATGAGCATATAATCGCTCAACCGCGTCTCCCCACTCGTTCGCACGAGTAAATCCACCGCAGGGAGCGGCGCGCCGCCTGATTGACCGTACAGCCTTCTCTCGAGCGCGCGCTCGTTCACGTCGCTCGCGTCCAACCTTCCCGCTTTCACCTCTTTTCTCGTCTCAACGATCGCCCGCGCGAGATCCTCTCTCCCCGTGTACGCCATGCACACGTTCAAAATCGGTCCATCGTTCGCCGCCGTCGCCTCCATCACCGCCATCGCCGCCTCTCGCACCGCTTTCGGCAACGCGTTCAGGTCGCCGCTCACCGTCACCCGCGCCCGATGCCTCGCCAATCGCGCATCCTTCCCCAACATCTCCAGCCGCTCCGTCGCGAGTTCGAACAATCCGTCCAATTCATCCTCCGCGCGTCCAAAATTCTCCGTGCTCAGGGCGTAGACGCTCAACACTTTCACGCCCAGGTCGAAGCACCACTCGCACGCCGCGCTCAGCGTCTCCGCCCCCGCGCGGTGTCCCACCGTCGCGCTCGCGCCTCGGCGTCGCGCGTGCCGACGATTTCCATCCATGATCACCGCGACGTGTCCCGGGACGCCCCTCCGGCGCAGCGCGGCGCAGACGAGGCGACGAAACCATCGTCCGAAACCGCTCGACGCGCGCGACGACGCGCGCGACGCCATGGCGACCGGCGCGACGTCGCGCGACGCGCGGGCGCGGTGGACCCGCGACGGGGGCGACGGGGCGCCGCTCGATGCGCGGTGCGCGCGCGACGGGACGTGCGGTCGCGCGCGATGGCTCGTTCGATGATGAAAATGTGCCGCACTCACCACCGCGCGCCGTGGACGTGGATGCCGCCCTGGACGCGCGCGCGCGAGCCGGTGAAACCGCGGCCGTTGCGCGCCGTCTTGGACGCGTTCAAAACGCTCGAGGCGCCGCGCGCGGGGGTGCGGTGGACGGTTTTGGACATTATAATCATGATCGTTCGCTCGGTCGTGGTGGCGTACGGCGCGCTGTTGACGCTCTCGCTCGTCTCGCCGCGGGCGCGACGCGGGGTGCGAAAGGTTCAGGACGCCGCGCGCGCGTCGGCGCACGTGGTGTTGAGCGATGAGAAGAAGTGGAAGAAGGACGCGTCGCGCGATCCGCGGGCGTTGCTCGCGAGCGGTTCGGTCGAGCGAAGAAAGACCGTGGTGTTCGTCCGACACGGCGAGAGCACGTGGAACGAGGTGTTTAATCGTAAGTTTGATCACACGTTCCCCACGAGACTGATCGGTGGGGTGTTGCGGGAGATGGTGAAGTTTTTTGAGCGCGACTCATTCTTCATCGATTCGCCTCTGAGCGCGCTCGGCGTCGAGCAGGCGCGAGCGTTATCCAAGCACTTTGATGATTTGCGTGCGAAGGGGGCGAGCGAGGACGAAGTCTTGAACGCGATTTTAGGCGTTGGGAAGAAGAAGAGCGTGATCGTGAGTAGTAATCTGCGTCGCGCGGTGAACACCACGGCGAACGCGCTGTGGAGTCGGTTATCGGCGAGCGGGTCGACGGAAAAGATCGTCATTCACAGCGCTTTGCAAGAGGTCGCGCGTAACGTCGATACGTACGCGCTGGCGTCGAACAATGGTGACGTCGTCCCCACGCCTACGCTCGCGCGCGAACTCAGGATCCCGTCGCTCGGCGACCGCGAGCTCTTCGACGCCACGGAGAACGCCGGGCAGAAACCGCTCGGACGCAAGGGCGTGGACTCCTTCCGCGAGTTCGCGGCGTGGGTGATGAATCAAGATGCCGAGGTCGTCATCGCTGGTGGACATTCCATTTGGTTCCGAGAGTGGTTCCGAGAGTTCTTGCCGCGCGATTCACAGTGCGCCGGCAAGTCGAAGAAGATTGTCAACTGCGGCGTCGTCTCGTTCGATTTGTGCTTCGGCCGCCATCCCGACCACGGCGAGATGTACGCTGTGGATAACGTTCGCGAGATCTACGGTGGATTCGCCAAATGAGTATTTCTTTGCTGTTTTAATAATACCTACTTTCGCTCGTCGCCGAGCGTCGACTTGTCTACCTCGATGACTAGCTGCTCGCAGCTCCCGTGCGAGCGCGTGAGCGACGACGCCACCGCATCCGTGCGCTCGTCCCAAGCGAGGAACGATCCGACAGACAGTAACACCGCCTGTATGTACTGATCCATTCTCAAGTGATTCGCGTGATCCGGAGAGAACGGGATCTCGCACTCCGTCGCTGAGCCCTCAATGCCGAGCAAGACGAAACTCACAATCGCAACCGCCGGAATCGTTCCCCAACGCCACTGACTCGCGAAGACGAACGGCATCGTCAAAAGATAACCCACCAGGAACGTTCGCAGATGCACGACGTACACCATCGGTAACTTTGTCGAGCGTAATCGTTCGAGTGCGCCCTCGTTGAGAACCAAAAAATCAACCTGCGCGTTCAATCCGCGAGAAATTGACTCGCCGCGCACGGCGTCGCTCACGCTTTCCCCCTTTTCCGCCCCGAACGCCCTAGAAATAGCCCTACGCACCATCATGATGCAAAACAACGGCGGGTGCCTCGCGTTTTCAGCCCGTAAACGATCGTCCTCGCTCAAAATACCCGCGAGCTGCTCCGCCGGCACGTCCCTCTGCGCGCGTAAGAACTGTTTCGAGCACACCGCGAACGCGCACAGCCACGCGCACGCGTCCTCGATCGCCTCCACCTCCCGCCCCTTGGCGCTCGCTAACAAATAATCAACGAAATTCCTACTGCCGACGACGATGTTCCCGAAACACGTTCGACACTCCCAAAACCGCACCGCCGCTCTGGACAACCTGAAGACGAGCAAAAATCCAAGAGCCGTGAAGACCAACGAGTACGCCGCCTCGAAGCTCCTCATCGCCGCCTCTCTGGTGTTCACGGCACCGACGCAGTATAAGATCGTCCACGTCGCGCTCACGCCGTTCACGAAGCTCCACGGCGCGGCGAAAGCGCTCAGTCCTCTCGCTTTCGGGTTCGCCAAGAGTGCGGTGTGGAGCCAAGAAGACGAATCGTACTCCGGCTGCGCGCTCGCCCCGCGCTCGAACGCGCGCTGTCGCGTCGCGGCGTTGTGCGAGTCGTTCATCGTGCGCGAGAGACGGGGCTTGGGGGGGGGATTGGGAGGCATGACGCGTCGGCGAGTGCGGGACGGACGCGCGCGGCGCCGTCGCGCGCGGAGCGAGGAACGACGGCGATGCGATGATGCTGGACCGAATTCGGGACTAAAAAATGACTAAATGCCGTACACCCGCCTCGTGTTCGCTCGGCACTTTTCGAACACGACGGAGTCGTCGACGTCGTGGACGCGCGCGATGGCGGCGGCGATGCGAGGCACCATCGCCGGATGGCACGTTTGCCCACGAAACGGCGTCGGCGCCATGTACGGCGCGTCCGTCTCTAATAAAATCTTATCTAACGGCACCTGAGCGATGACGTCGCGAACGTCTTGACCGTTCTTGAACGTCGCGACGCCGGTGAAACCCAGACACAAATTCGTCGGAAACGCCTCGAGTAACCCTCTCGCCAAATTCGCCGAGGACGTGAAGCAGTGGACGTGCACGCGCGCGTCGCTCGGCAGATGCGCCTTCATCATTTCTAACGTATCCTCCTCCGCCTCGCGCGTGTGCACGATCAACGGTTTGTTCAACTCGTTCGCCAGGGCCATTTGCGCCGCGAAAGCCTCCTTCTGCGCCAACTTGTACGCCGCAACCGCCTCCGGACCCGCGTCGGGTAATCTGTGATAATCCAACCCCGTCTCCCCGACCGCCACCACGCGCGGTTCGCTCGTCAATAACTCCCGAACGCGCGCGCGAACGTCGTCGCGTCGCCACTCCTCGGCGCTCAACGGGTGCACGCCGTACGCGGCGCGCACGCGATCGCCCCCCGCGCGCGCGACGGCTCTCGTGCTCTCGAACGACGCCGACGAGCACCCTACGGTGACGCACCCCTCGAACGTGGACGTCGAACTCGCGTCGAAGGCGTCCGCGAGCGCGAGATAGTCCTCGATCGAGTCCACGTTCAGCCTCGCGAGCACCGCGTCCATGTGACAATGCGTGTCCACGTACGCGTTCGTCACCACATCGACGTCGACGCGCGTCATTCGGTCGCTCGACGCCATCGCGCGCGGTCGACTCGTCGTTCGCGCGCGCTCGGTCGCGCGCGCGTGGGTGAGACGCGCGCACGAGGCGACGAGCGCGCGCATGGGCGTGTGCGGTCGCGGCGCGAACGCGAACGCGAAGACAATCATTCTCCATCGAGTCCCCCATCGCTCGCGGCGCGTCAACGCCCTGGAGCAGCGACGTCGTGCGCGACAATATCTATCACGGCTCCGATGGACCCGCGCACGGGTACGCCTTGGCGTGATAGCCGCTGAGCTCTCGCACGTCGACGACGCGGGCGTACCCGGCGCGACGCGCGGATTCCATCCCCAAAACCGCGTCCTCGTACGCCACGCACCGCCCCGGATCGACGCCCAAACGCGCCGCGGCGAGCGCGTATAAATCCGGCGCCGGTTTCCCTCGCCCCGACGCGACGTCGTCCACGGTGACGACGACGTCGAACGCGTCCAACAACCCGCGTCGCGCGAGATGTCGCGTCACGCTCGATCGCGTCCCGCTCGACGCCACCGCGAGCTTCTTCCCACGCGCCCGCGCGCGACGGACGATGTCGCACACGCACTCGATCGCGTCCGGGGTCCCGAAATCCTCGACGTACCGCTCGCACGCGTCCGTCATCGCGTCCAAGCCGTCGTCGTCCATCGCCACCCCTTGCGCGCGACAGACGCGATGGAAAATCTCCCGCACCGGCGTCCCCGCGAGGTCATAAAACGTCTTTTGGTCCAGGACGACCCCGCGCTCGGCGCACGCGCGCGCGTCGGCGGCGTAGAACATGCCCATGGTGTCGATGAGCGTCCCATCGCAATCGAACACGAGGGCGTCGACGTCATCGAACGTCCCCGCGCGCGCGTCCGCGGGCGTCATCGCGCGCGCGTATTTCTCCGTCGTCGTCCGCGAGCGTCCGTCGCCGTCGCTCGGCGTCGCGCGCGCGGCGTCGAGCGATGGGGCGTGGACGATGGACGTGTGGTGTGTGCGTAAACAGTCTGACGCGACACCACACATCGCGACGCGCGACGTCGATGGCGTACTACTCGGCGAACGATTTCTTAGCCGCCGAACCGGAGGTTTCGGTCGAGTTCATCGTCGGCGCCCGTGGGTTAGCGTCGGAGCTCGGCGCGTCGGCGTCGACGGGACGACGGAGGAATGATGATGATTCAAACGACCGAGTGAATGACGTGCCGGAGGATTTCGCGACGAAGATCCCGCTGTGGTGGCTCGAGGGGGCGCTGTGGGAGGACGTCGATCTCGTCGGTGTCCCGGACGCGTTCGATGACGACGTGTTCGCGTCGTTGGAGGCGCCGAACGGGGGGCGGATGACGGATTTGCGATCGCGATGTGAGAATTATTTTGGCTTCGGGCGACGCCTCGTCGCGGCGCTGCGGAGGCAAGAGGCGGCGGCGGAGAACGGGGACGTGGAGCGCGTGGAGAGATTGGGGGAGAAGATTGAACGGGCGTTCGCGCGGAGGTGGTCGGAGTGCCTGTGTGAAGTCCTCGGGCGGTGCGACGACGCGGATGCGATTGAGCGGTCGCTGACGCGGGAGGAGCGGAAAATTTGGAACGCGGGGAGAGAGGCGCAAAAGGCGTACGAACGGTGGAGATACGGGAGAGGTGAGCGCTTGGTGGCGTCGAAGATCGTGCAGGACGCGAAGAGGAGGAAGCGCGAGGCGAATAACGCGATGTGATCTACAAATGATTGTATTCTTCATTTTCAATTCGCTCGCACGCCGGCGTCGACAATCCAAGAAATCATCGCGCGTCTCGCGTACAGCCCCGTGGCGGCGCCGATCAAGGTGGCCATGATCACGCCTCGAACGACGGTATAGCGTCCGCCCTGGAACTCGCGATCGAATATGAGTTCGAATAAGAATCCCAGCGCGAAGATGCACAGGACGAGGAGTCTGTACGAGACGTACACCAATAGCCTCGCGATGTCGTACAGGTACAAAACCTTGTACACGCCGCAGCGCATCTCTCGACGCAACGTCGCGGCGAACGGGCTTGAGATGAGCAGCAAAGAGTCCACGTCTGACGGTACACTAGGAGCGTATTCATCTATAGGCTCCAAAGCCCCGAGACGTTTGAGCAAGAGCGCGTTGAGACGAGCGAGCTCCGGATCGTTGCACTCGAATCGGGAGAGCGCGCGCCAGAGACACAGCGCCAAACCACCCGGTCCAAATCGACAGATGATGCTCGCGTACTCGCCTTCATTTTCGCACACCTCTCTCAATTTGTCTTTCTCTGTCGCCTCGGGCGCCGCGATCTCGTCGTTCTCGGTCCAGTCCTCGGTCCAGCCTTTGCCTCGTCTGATGATGTCGCACACGTCCAGCGTCAACGCTCCGGACGGTTCCAACGTCGCGAGTCCTAAACGACGTACCAAAGACTCCCCGATGCTCTCTATGTCGTCAGCGTCGGCATGCTCACGATCGCACGCCATGATTTCGTTGAATACGTCGAAGAGCGCGTCGCAAATGCTCACCGCGATGGCGTGCTCTCGCTTGATCCAACTCCGCACTCTGATCCTCTGCACCAACGCCAGGGAGTACACGAGCATTTGTGAGATGACGTTGAATCGAACGTTCAAGTCCCATGCGTTTAGACAGATCGATCGCATCTCTATCGTGCCATCAATCGTTGGAAGCGGGTTGAGCGCTCGAACGATCCACCATCCCAAGTCTCCTGGTTGGTTCTTCGGCGGTCTCGGCCCAATCGCCTGAAGTAGCGTGCTCATTCTCCCACCGTAATTATACAGCCAGCGCGGCCCGCTGGTCATGGCGATCCAAATGCCGAAGAGTTCCATCGCGCGAGCGACGCGTAGCTCGAGTTTCGCGTATGTCTCGCGAGGTTCAAGGTAATCTTCATAAGGATCGCCCTTACGATCGTACACGCGCGTGCACTTGGCGACGCAGAACCCAGATGGATCTTTCACAGCGCTGTGCACGTACACGTGTCGCATCGCACGTATGCGCACTAAAAACTGACCGTCGACGAGTTCTTGACACGTGACGATTTGACATTCGACGCAGAACCTACCGAACCGCTCTAGGCTCACTCCCATCGCTTCGCATCCCACCTCGAGCGCCGGCGACACCTCGAGCGCCTCGAGCGCCGCCTCACCGTCGTCCGATTCGAGCGCCTCCAGGTACGCATAAAACTTCTCCTCGTTCACGTCATCGTTCGTCATCATCAAAAACCGCCGACTTCCCGTGAGCGCGCGTCGTATCAGCACCTTATACTTGGCCTCGTACACGTCGAGCGTCACCTCCTGTCCCGGCACCAACGCGTCCAAGAAGAACATCGGTAACGCGTACGTCTTCCCAATCAGCGTCACCGCACCATCAGGCGTCATCCACGTCTCGTTCTCATCCCTCGTCATCGCGTCCACGTCCTCCTCGTGCGCTCGTCCGCGTCCGTTCCGCCGTTCCGCCGCCGTCCGTCGCGCCCGCTCCGGCCCGTTCCCGAACGCCGCCTCCGCGCACGCTCGCACCGTCGTGTTCACCGGCCACTCGTACGGGAGTTCGTGATACAACGGTGTTCGGCACTCCGGGCACGTGCCCGGGGCTGATATGCTTCCCAGCGCCCGTCCGCGCGTTTGCGCTCGTTCGCGTTCGGCGCGCGTGAGCCACCGCGCGATCGCCTCTCGCTCGAACGTGTGTCCACACGGCGTCGTCACCGGTTCGACGAACGGCGCGTTCGTGATCGCGCACGTCAGCGCTTGGCGCATCGCGCGCACGTCGGGCGCGGCGACGGAGGCGTTCATTTCGTCACGGCTGGTGACGACGTCGTCGTCATCGCGCGCATCGTCCACGGTGGGGGCGACCGCGGACACGGAGACGCTGGGCGCGGGGACGTGGACGTCGCGGAGGTGCTGGAGCGCCTCGTTGACGCGTCGGGCGACGCGGTCGCGACGACGACGCTCGGGCATGGTCGAGGAATGAGACGCGGCGAAGGCAAAGGCAAAGGCAAAGGCAAAGGCAAAGGCGCTCGGAACGATGGATGGTGTGACGTTACAGTAAACCCTGACGCTTGAGATCCTCGTAGGTCTTTTTGTTGTACACGTTGCCGTGGGTGTCTTCGACCTCGGCGTCGAGGGCGACGTCGAAGGAGCCGTCGTCGCGTTGGGATAAATTCGCGTGCAACGCGCGCGCGTCGGCGATGGAGACGACTTCGTTGAAGGCTCTGGTGTAGGGAATCTTCAGGCATCGCATGCCGTGTTGGTGTCTCCATTCGGTGAAGTGACGCTCGAACGCTCTTCGGCCCCAGTAGCTGTAGTTCCCGCAGATCTCGCACGTGTACTCCATGTTCAATCCGTGGAGCTTGTACAGCCAGTACGGGATTGGCTTTCCGTCCCATCCGAGCGGGAGCTTGAGCGGGTTGTAAATCTCCTCCTCCTCGTCCGTCTCGGCGTCGCTGAAATCATCGTCCTCCTCGGCCTCGGCTTGGAGCTCGGCGAGGGATAAAGTGGACTTCTTCTCCACGTTCGTGCGCGTGGCGTCGAGTTGCTTGCCCAAAAGCCGCAACGCCTCGGCGCACTGGCTCTCCTTGCGCGCGACCATCTTCGCGCGCGCCTCCGCCTTTGCCACGTCGTCGCCCTTGGATGATTTCTTCTTTAAGTCGACGACGACGCCCTTGGCGAAGAGCTTTTTATCGATCTCGCTCAGCTTCTTCCCCTTGACGCTCCACAGACGCTCGCAGCGCTGCTCGGGCGTCCCGCCCACCTTGAGCCCCATGGACTCGAGCGCGCTCTTCACCCCGTCCACGTCGAGCGCCGCGCGCATTTCCTCGATCGACGAGAACGCCGAGAGATCCGCCGAGCTAGATTTCATCATCTTCTCGTCCACGGCGCGAACGCCTCTGTCTTCCCATCCCACGCACTCTCCCTTTGTCCACCTCGCCTCGAACGCCTCGGCGTCTCGCTCGAGCGCCTCGCCGACAAACTGCAGCGGCATCGCGCGCTCATGAAACGATACGAGATACGCGAGCAAGGCGTCGAGATACTCCGTGTACGCCGAGCGAAACTTTTTCGTTCGCGCGATCGACGCAAAGTCCCCGCACCGCGCCAGGTACTGGGAGTAATCGCACCGCTCGCCGAACGTCGCGTTTGAGAACGTCGCGTGCGACTCGTGCAGATCCAGACATCTCCCAAGATTTTCCTCACCGCTGAACGCCGCGCTCGGATCTTCCAAGCTCTGCTCAATCTCATCGAGAAACGCCTCCCCATCGTTCGCGACGTCGCTCTCGCGTCCCTCGTACGACGCCCGCGTCCGCTTCACCGCCTCGTAAAACGCCCGCAGCGCCATTCGCGCGTCCTCGCCATCCCCCATCGACGCCTTCTCCTCCGCCATCGACCCGTCCGCGTCATCATACACCGCGCGCTGCGTCGAGAAACGAATCACGCGTCGTCAGTCCCTCGAACCGCATCCTTTCCGTCGACATCCATCGAATCGAATCCTCCGCGCGCGTCCCGCGCGTCCGCCGCGCGCGCGCCGAACGCGCATCCATCGCCATCTCGCCATCGTCTCCCCCCGATCTCGCGCGCGTTCGCAAAACGCTCGTCGCGCGCCGCCACGCGCGCGCCTCCGCGATCGACCTCGCGCGCGTCGCGTCGAACGCGCACCAATCGTTTGGCTCGATCGGCCGCCGCCTCCACGAGTCCGCTCGCGAGTCTGTTCGCGGTTAACCGCCCTTTATGCGTCGCCGACGCGCTCTCGGAGGTTAACGCGCGACACGCGCGACGTTCGAGCCGCTCGATGTCTTCGTGCGCGCGTCGCGCGAGCTCGAGCGCGGTGGAGGCCATCGCGCGCGGATGTGGGCGACCGCGTCGCGCGCGGGGGGTCGGGTCTCTCAACCCTATTTCTAGGGGTGTGGGCGTCGCGTTTTAGGGTATTTTAGGGTATAGGGTTTAACACGTCCCACCCGATCGCGCGACGCGCGCGTGTACGAACACGACGACGACGATGCGAACGACGACGACGACGACGACGACGACGACGACGACGACGGGCGGTCGCTCGCGCGCGAGGCGTGCGCGTCGCGTCGCGTCGACGGTCGATCGAGACGCGGCGACGAACGCGAGCGACGATGGCGATGGCGCGTCGACGTCGACGCGCGGGACGCGCCGACGGGCGTGCGCGCTGGCGATCGCGATCGCGCTCGCGCGCGGACGGGCGGCGCGCGCGGATGGATTCGTGGTCGGGGGGTCGGGGGCGAACGAGGCGAACGGTGGGTTCGCGCGCGAGGAGACGTACGAGTACGAGACGCGGGACCTGGCGGTGGACTTGGCGTCGCCGTTGGCGGCGTATTGGGTGGTGACGAAGGCGTTGAATCAAGAGATTCCGACGTGGTTGAATGCGATCGTGTTGGTCGCCGTCGTGGGGGCGGGATGGGTCGTGTTCACCGGGAACTCGTCGCTGGATGCGTATTTGCAATGACTCGTACGCGGCGTACGCCGCGTTGTAAGCTAGAGATGGATTATATTTGATTACACGGTGACGCCGTCCGTGGTCTTCTCATCCGCGTCTCGGATCGGTCTGTTCGCCTTGTACGTCTCGAACGCGGCGACGATGACCTCGGAGATCTCCGGGGTGACGTTACAGAACCTGAGGTTGTCCCTGAAGGCGTCCCACTCGTCGGACGCCAACGCGGGCGCGAGCGCCGGTTCGAGCTTGTCGCGTCTGAATCGCGCGAGATCTTCGCGCACCGCTTCCGAGGGCTCGAGTTTGGTCAACCGATTCGGTGGTTCGACGCTCGACTCGGTGTTTACCCTGAAATTCATGAACTCGACGTCGTATAGATACAGCGTCGACGCCGGGGCGAGCGGCATCGCGGCTCGACACGGTCTCGCCAGCGACGCGGGTAAAAACTCGAGCGGACAGTGACCGAGACTCACAGCCACCGCGCTCGCGATCATCTTACGAATTTGGTACAGCATGAACGATTCACCTCGGACGGAGACGCGAACGAACGGCTCGCTTTGGGTTGTCGATCCGTCCTCGTTTGTAATTGTCATCCGCTCGACCTCCGAGCCGGCGCTAAAGTTATGAATCCTCCGAAAGTGTGACTGCGTGATTTTGTCCGTCCAATCGGATTCGAGCAACCAGTACGTGTGTTTCTCTCGATCGCCCACGTGCTCGGGGAACGGACGCCCGTCGTCCGTCGCCGTCGTCGTCGGCCGCGCTTCCTCGCTCTCGTCGTCGGCCTCTTCGGACGCATCCTCGGAGCCGTCGTCCATCACTGCGCCGTCTTGCCCACGCCAGGCCGCGTTCCCTCTTGAATCGCGAAGCCGCGGTCTGAAATCCTTCCTCGCCTTGGCCGTGTACTGCGATCGCTTGGTGTAGTTGTGAAACGGGTGCGATCCGATGAAGCACGAGAGCGCCTCGTTGAAGAGCGCCAAGCGCCGCCGACCGCTCTCGTCCATCGCGTCACCGTCCAAACCCAAAACCCGCGCCGGGAGCAAGTACTCGTACGTTCGCATCACGCACTCTCGTCGCGCCTGAAACGACTTGGGCGTGTTGTACACGGCGAAGCACTCGACATCATCCGGTAAGTGCTTCGTGATGTCTCGCGCCGTCGCGCGCGCCTCCACGTCCGTCGTCCAAACCTCCGGATCAATCTCCGCCCTCAGGCTCACCACGGTACAGAGCGAACTCACACCCTTATCGGTCCGGCTGCTCCGACTCCACTTCAATCGTTGCAAACCTTTGCTTCGATAATTCGGCAATAAAATCCCACCCCATCGAAACAGCGCGTCTTCGACCACGTCGTCCACCGTCGTCCCTCGCACCGCCTGCGCGTTATGCGTGTTCCCCTTGTACCCCGCGCCGACGTACGCCAATAACAGCGCCACGGGTTTCTTCTTCCTTCGCTCGTCTGGCTCTGGGATCACTACATCATCCGGGATTCGATGACTCTCGTGCGCGTTGTCGTCTGGTTGGTGCGCGACGTCCCGCCAATCTTTCCCACCGTTCCCATCCACCTTCCTGTGGCTCTTCCGCGCCTTCGGGGCGCCGCCCGCGATGATGTGAGATCGAGTCGTTCTGGATTCCCGCCTCTCGACGCGCGCGAGGGCGAGGCGCGCGTACAAAGAGCTCGGGACTCGAGCACAGGTTTTCATGACGACGCAACTTTACGCGTCGAATGCGTGCGTTCGAAGCCCTCGCGCGTCCGTCGCGGGCGCGCGTGATGAGCGGCGATGCGCGAGAGACTTCGAGCGCGCTCGCGGTGGAGTAAACGCGCGAGACGGCTCGGAGTGCGGACGGCGCGCGCGAGGGCGGCGGCTGCGTCGACGCGCGTCGAACGGCCATGTTCATTAATCTAGCTAGAGAGCGCTTCGACGGCGCTCGGTTTGTTTCTATTACGTTTTTCGTGTCTATATTTTCGTTCTATGCGTCGTCGTCGTCGTCGTCGTCGTCGTCGTCGACGTCGCCGTCTTCGGGCGCGGTGCGTTGCATGCACAGCGGCAGCCAATGTATGCGCGTGGGATCCGTCGTGCCGTCCTCCTTGACGTCCACGACCTGATGCTCACCGCTCGTGGAGCTGTACGCGATAATTTTAACGCGCTGCCATATCGGTTTGACATCCCCCTTGTCCGCTGGGAAGTCTCGCATGTCGACGTTGATGTCCATTTTTAACTCTTTGCCGACGACGTGCGCGCCCCACCGATCGCCCTGCGCGCGGAGCCATTTATCGATGCTCTGCGGCGCGTCCTTCGATCTCTGAGCTGGAACGACGAGTATGGAACGGCGCCAACGTCTCGTATCGGTCTGTGGATCACCGAATCGCTTGTCGAAATCCGCGCACAAGTACGTCCCGGGCTCGCCTTTATCGTCGACGCACGAGACGCACTCCGCCCCGCGAAAGCATCCGGGCTCGTACATCCCATTCTTTTTCCCGACGCGAACGGCGAGGCGTTTCGGTTCCAGGCCGTGCACCGAGGGCACGGTCGCATCCTCGCTCGGAAAGAAGACTTGCACGCGTTCGTTCGCGAGTTGTAATTTTTCCTCCTCAGAATCCTCAAAGTAAAATACGACGTGTTCGCGCGTACCGTCGTCGTACCCTCGCACTTCGGCGGTGTACCACGCCTTGTCCAAAGGCCACCACACCTTGACGTGTCGACCGACGAGACCGACGCCCTGGACCTCGGCTCCAGCGCCCTCGTAATCGATCCAATCGCCCTCCCGCTTGCGCTTGCGCTCGGAGCGCGCGCGTTCCTTGTCCGCGCTCTCACTCTTCGTCTCTTTCGGCTTCTTGGGCAACATCCCGCACGGAATCCACGTCGTCGGACCCTTTTTACTCGGTTTGTGTCTCAGGTCGACTTTTTCCTTTTTGAAGTTGACTCGCTCCTCCACGCCGTCGTCGACGTACAGCACGGTGTGCTCTCGAGTTTCCTTGTCGTACGCCTTCACCTTGGCTTCGTAATACGCCTCATCCATGGGCCACCACACGCGCACGACCGCTCCGATGGGGACTTTCACGCGCGTCCGCACCGCCGCGATGTCCTGTTTCCCACTGAGAACGGCGAAGAGATTCTTATTCGCCGAAAACTTGGTGGTTCGATAGTTGCCCGTCTTGGACAGCGTCCCCGTGCTCGGGTTGAAAAACCCGAGCTTGATGAGCGCCTCCGTCGCCGCCTCTCGCACGCTCTCATCGGTGTCTTCGATGCGTTTGTTAATCAAACTCACCTTGGCCGCGGCGGCGCCTCGAAGGTGTCCTAAACATCTCGTCGCCGCCGCGCGCACGCCCGCGTCCGCGTCGCGCGTCAACTCCCCCGCGCACTCGGCGCTCTGGAACAAGATGACATCCTCCGATCCATCCGGCGCGGGATCACCTCGCCGACCTCTCCACACGCTCTCGATCGCCTCACACGTCGCTTGTCGCAGCTCCGGATCGTCGCTCGTCGCGTTCGCCGCGAGCTTCCCCACCACCGTCTTCGCCTCCGCCCCGCGCGCTTCGCACGCGCGCGTCGCCGCGATCCGCACCTCATCTCGCGCGTCGCCCAACGCGCTCCCCAACGCCCGGATCACGCACGCGTTCGATCCACCGACTTCACCGAGCGCGCGCGCGCACGCCGCGCGCACGCGCGCCGCGCCGTCCCGCCGCGTCAGCGCCGCGAGCGTCCCGACGCCGTCCCGTCCCGCGTCGCCGAGCGCGTGGAACATCCGCGCCCCGCTCACGCGCGTCGACGCGCCGTCGGCATCATCGCCCGCCCGCGCCGGCGTCTTCAGGCATTCCAGCGCCACCGCCGCGACGCGCGCGCGCGTCGCGGCGTCCCACGAATCCATCGCGCGACACACCGCGTGCGTCGCCCGCGCCCGCGCCCGCGGTCGCCCGCGCGCGATCGCGTCGAGCGCGGCGTCGAGCGACGGCGGAGCATTCGCCGGTGCGCGTGCGTCGATCGTCGTCGTCGTCGTCGTCGTCGCGTCCTTCGCGCCCATCGATGGCCGAGACGCGACGATGATGTCCACGAGTCGTCCGCGTGCGTTCGATGTTTGACGTTCACGCACGATGGATCGATCGTGATTACGGGTTCAATCACGATGGAATCCATCGTGATTATGGGTTCAATCACGATGGATCGGTCGTGATTATGGGTTCAATCACGACCGGTACCGATCGATCGTGATTATGGGTTCAATCACGACCGGTACCGATCGGTCGTGATTTGAGTTTCAATCACGACGTGTCGGTCGTGATTTAAGTTTCAATCACGACGCACGATCGATCGGTCGTGATTTCGGTGTCACGGCGCGCGCGTCGGCATCGATCGACGGGACGCGCGCGATGGGGTTCCTCACGCGCGTGATCGCGAGCGGGATCGAGGACGGGGCGCGGCGAGAGGCGGCGCTCGAGCGACACCTCGAACGGGTGACGACGCGATGCGAGGCGCTGTGCGTGAACGACGACGACGGGTGATTCGATTCCGCGCGCGAGGGATCGCGCGGAGGCGGTCGCGGACGAGACTGACGACGACGACGACGGTTCGCGGGCGCAGACGGGATAATTGGGACCAACCGACGAAGAGCGATAAGTTTTGGTTGAAGGCAAAGGCGAGGTTGGCGCACGAGGACGCGGAGCGGGCGGGGGAGCACCCGGGACGGCGGGCGCCGTGGTGAGGGGCGGCGATCGAGACGCGCGGCGCGGTCGGAGGGATGATGTTTTAATGATGAAGACGTGTACGATGTAATTTTCGTGTGTTTCGTTGATTTCTCTCGCGGCGCGCCGTGGGTGTCGAGCCCGTGGGGGCTAAGAGATGTTTTCAGACGTCGCGTCGAAGGATGAAGACGCCGGCGCCGGCGCAAAACGCGAGACGTTTTGCATCGCACGCGACGGATCTCACGGCGACGTCGTCTTCTCCTCGAAATGTAAACAGCGTTTTCACGTCCACGACGTGCAAACGCACGCCCGTGAGGACGTTCCAGGCGATGAAGACGCCGGAGTCGGTGCCGAGACACGCGAGAGGCGACGCGCACGCGACGCATCGCGCGTCGGACGCGCCCGAGACGAAGAGCGACGTACCGACGGAGACACCGTGCGCTCGGACTAGTGCGGCGCTGACTTCGAATGGTACGATTCCCGCGTCGTCCGCACTCTCGGTCTCCGTTTCCAGAGACGCGCGCTTACGACTGGCGAGCGCGAGCGCCGCGAACGGCGCCTCATTCGCGCGATCGACTGGACCCATCGAAACCGGCACGAGATCCTTGATGGCGTGACCGATCGCGTACGACGATCGCTCGCGCGTTTTCTCACGGGTGTTCCACACGTACACCAACGCCTCGTCCACGACGGCGACGAGACGATTGTCGTTTGGCTCGCCGATCCATCGCAGGCTTGTCGGCGCGCCCGGTTTCGGCGCGACACCGCGGTAATTCGCGCTCGGCATCTCCTCCGTAGAATCTGGATCGTCGACAAAGACATCGTCGAGATCGCCTGACTCGCTCGGTGGCCACGAGAAGACGACGCATCGTCCGGGCTCGCCCGCGACGGCGAGAAAAAATCGCCCATCTTCGTCGAGCGTCGTCGCGCATCGCGTCACCTTGAAACCACACTTCAAATGTCTAGTCGGCGTCGTCGACGGCGACGATTTTTGGCGCTTACTCGCCGACGCACCGGACCTACGTTTGTCGTCACCCTCGGTAGCCTTCTCGACGGCGAGCACGCGCGCACCATCCGTCGCGTGCGGCGCAAAGACGAAACGTCCATTTGGACTCCATCGCACGCCGTCCAAGCTCATGGACGACGACGCGGACGACGTGTCGTGCGACGCGGATGAACGTCGTCGACTCAGGCGCCGATTCCCATAATCGCGCGCGTGCAAGCGACACGATCCCACGAACGCGACTTCGTCGTCCGCGACGCGGAACGACACCGCGTCGATATCTTCGCCATCGGCCGATTCAACGACGACGCCGACGTACGCGGTGTCCGACGATGGCCCACACCGTGGACGGTCGCTTAAAAATACTCGCCGTGGTGCACCGTCGTCGACGCGTGCCGTCAACGTGATCGCGTCCGTTTTCGTCGCTCGGCCGCTCGTCGTCGCAATGGTCTCATTCTGTGTCGCCGCGCACGCGCCCAGGCTGAATCTTAACGCGGTCGGACCTCGAACATCGTTCCATTCACCGCACGCCGAGTTCGGTACATCGACGTCGAACGCGTCTTGCCTCACTACGCCCAACGGGGTCATCTCCACGCGAGCCGCCGACGCCTTGCGTTTTCTCTCCGAAGCGCTCGCTCGTTCGCTCGCGCTTTCGACCCCAATCGCCTCTAGCGTCGCCGTCTCACCGTCATCAATCCACCCGATGTCCAATGACGACTGTACGATAGTCGTTTCCCCGCGTTCACGCGTGTCGTCGACCTCGGGCTCCTCAGTCGGCACGCTCTGTCCGTCCCGCAACGCCGCGTCCAAAACTCTCGGCTCACTCATAGGAATTGTCGGCTCCAACACTACTCGCGCCGCCTCCGCGCGCTCAGCATTCATCGACAAAGATCGTCCTCGCGCGCACGGCGTGGTGCTCGCTAAATTCACTCCATCATCGTCATCCGCGTCCTCAAAGCGCTTTGCAAACACATCCGCCCACGGCGCGTGCGACACGCACTCGAACAATCCTAACGTCCTAATTTTTAGTTTTTCCACCAGCGTCGCTCGAGCGGTTACTAATTCATCTCGTCGTCGCTTTAAATCCTGCGTTGATCCGGCCAAACGTTAGTCATCGTCCAAGTTCGAGCGTTTGCTGTTGAAGCTTTTGAAACTCATCATTTCCCAGCTGTCGCTCCGTTGCTCGTCTCAAAGTGGCGCGGCGCGCGATGAACGCACCTCGAGCGATCGAACATCGTCTTTCACGCGATCTCCCGCGTTTGACGATCTCGCGCGCGGCATGACGCGGCGACTTTCGAGCGTCGACGTGTGATGCGCCCTCGTTTGGGCTGCGAGCAAAGGCGTCAACAAATAATTTTGAAAAAGTTAAGACTACACGACGTCCACGAGCGAAAGATTTAGCGCCTAGGATTTCTATTCTTTGCCATGGACGGGTCTGCGACGCCGCGTCGACTCTCGCCGTACTTTTTGAACTTTTTGCGAAAGCTTCGTTTTCGGCTGAAAGCACTTTCGACGGGTTCGCCTTTAGCCTCTGCGTCGCGCACGGCGCGAACGAGATCGGCCGTCGTAGGGAGACATATGTTGGTGACCCGTCCAGCGGCACCCGCACGAGCGGTGCGACCGATGCGGTGGAGGTAATCCACGGCGTTGCCGGCGAACTCAGCCTGAACGACGTGGGCGACACCCGGGACATCGACGCCTCTCGCGGCGCTGTCGGTGCACACCAAAGCGGAGACGACGCCGGCGGCGAAGTCTTGTAAACGGACGCCGCGATCGTGACTAGACATATCGGCGTGGAACGCGGCGGACGGGAGACCGAGTGCGTTGAATTCGCGAGCGATCTCATCTGCCGCCGCGGCGGTGTTGACGAAGACCATCGTCTTCTCAAACTCCGTCTTCTCGCTCGACGTGAGACCGACCGCTTCGGCGAGCGCTTGAGCGCGCGTCTCCATCGTCGCCTCGATCCAAGTTTGATTCACGCTCGCGACAGAGCGATGCAAACGCCGACCCTCGATCCATCGCGCGTCTGGGAACCCGTATTTAATCATGGCGCCGGGCGTCTTTTTGCCGTTGCTCATAACTGTCGCCGCGGCAAAAATGTACTGACGCCTGAAGTCTCTCCCTTCGCCCAGACCAACGCGCCCCTTACCCCCGAGTGCGGGTCCGGGTGTGCGACGACCCTGACTCGCGCGCGGAGCGTCGTGGTCCTTTCGCCAATCGCGTTCAAAGGACGCCTCGTCTCGCTCGGCGTCGCCATCCCACTCGACTTCGGTAGGTGCGTCGACGAAAAATCCCTCACTCGCGAGCTTCTCCTCGCGATAGAGCACGTCGAAACACATTCGTAGGGGTTTCAAGTATCCACCGGAGAATAACATGTCAGCTTCATCGAAGACGACGTGTCGAACTGTGCGCGCCGTCGAGGCAAACGATCCGCGTCTCCACGCGCCTTCTCTGTGGTGTAACAAATCCTCCACCGCGCGCGCCGGCGTGGTCACGTACACGTCCGGGGGGTTGAACGGCGTCCCCGTCTCTGGTGTTAACGCATGCGTTCGTAAAAGCGGCTCGCCCGTGCTCTCATCTACGAGCGAATCTGCAACGCGAGTGACTTGTTCGCACAAAGTCGCGTTCGGACACAAAATCAGTGCTCCCGTGCGTCGACCGCCGTTTTCCTCGTCCGCGCCCTCGCCGCGATCGGAAACTCGCAAGAGGTTATCCCAGATAGGTACCAAATAGCTCAGCGTCTTCCCGCTTCCCGTCTCCGCCGCAATGACGACGTCCACTCCGTCCATCGCCGCCGGTATTGCGTCCGCCTGTATCTCCGTCAGCGTCGCGAATCCCAATTTTTTCAGCGCCCATCGAACACGAGGGTGAAATCTCTGCTCGATATTGATACAAGTGGTCAGTCAAATCCGCGATCACGATCCCCGATCATCGCTCGATTGAAAAAATATTGCTACGACGCTCCGTCATCGAGCGTGCCGACGCCTCAGGTTCAGTTGGTTTGCCTCACAGAATGCTCCGCGCCCGAGTCCCGAGAGACCCGTCGCAGTGCTCTAATAAGGAAGATAACGCAGTATTGAACATCACCGGCGTCGACACGTGCGCGTAACATCGGCTCGCGTTTCACTCCGCCTTCGCGCGCTTTTCACCAAAACACCTCGTCGACGCTCTTCTCGCGCACGCACCTCGTCACACGTCGACACAGCGCTCTCGGACGGACCCGCGTCCTCACCGCTCATCACCCGCGCGCTCGAACCTCTCGAAATCACTCGAAACGTCTCGAAACGACCGAACAAAGTCGTTCGAGCCAATCGCGCCGCCGGGACGAAACGCATCGTTTTCGCCCGCGCGCGAGCGTCCCTCACACCGCTCGATCGCTGATTTGAGTCGTGAGATTTACGTTCGAGCGAACGCGCGCCCGCGTCGACGCGTGCGGCGACGCGCGCGCGCATCGTTCTGACGCGTCGTCGCCAGCGCACGCGCCGGTATGTTTGTGAAAACTTTCATTTACCGGTACGTACGGTATTGTACGGTAGTGCGAAGGATTGCGTGGTGTTTACGGCACTTCGCAACGCCGTGGGGACGCGCGCGCGGGTTCACGCGGTGATCGCGTGGTGTGAATGTTGTCGAGCGCGAACACGTAAGGTTCGAGGTGTTATCGGTGACGAAAAACGCGTCGTGAGAGGTGGATCGGTTCTTTCGCTGCAACACCATCGATTCGTCAAAAGACGCGCGCAAATCGCGAGCGCGTGGTCGCCGGCGCGCGTAACGGACTCGAGTCTATCATAGGAACGTATCTAGCGCACCTAGGGTCGCAAACGCGATGCAGTTATCGACGTACGGTGAGGATAGCGCGCTGTACGCCGCGGCGTACAGCGCTGCGTATCTCTTGGTGGCGACGGTGTTAATCTTGGCGAACAAGCACTTGATCACGGAGACGACGCTGAACTGTCCGATATTCATCTCGAGCTTAGGGTCGTGGTTCGGATGGCTCGTCGCCGCGATCGCGATCGCGCATGATCCGAAGAAGATGTCGCACCGGTTGACGCTCGGAGAGTGGTGCGCGAACATATTACCGATCGGGTTCTGCACCGCGCTCAGTTTGGCGGCAGCGAACGTGGCTTACTCATACCTATCGCTGTCGTTCATACAAATGTTGAAAGCTTTCGCGCCCGTGGTGTGTTACGCGACGTTGGTTGCGTTTGGGCTCGATCGGTTTAGTGGAAGGATAGCGACGACGCTGAGCGTCGTTATGATAGGGTGTTTTGTCGCGGCGTGGGGTGAGGCGCACGTGACTGCTTTTGGGTTAGGGTGCATGCTCACCGCTGAAGTCGCGGAGGCGTTTCGAAGCGTCGGAGTCCAATACTTGATCGCGAATAGGAAATTTTCCCTCTTCAACGGCATGTACTACTTCTCGCCGGCGACTTTGGTCTTCATCATGGGTCTGAGTTTGGTGTTCGAGCGCGAGGAGTTGTTTCGGTACGAAAACGGCTCCGTCTTCGCAAAGTACTGGTACTTGATCGTGATCTGCGCGACGTTCGGATTCGCGGTGAATTATGTGTGCCTCGGTGTCGTCCGCCACGCCGGCTCACTCATGGTGAAAACCATGTCCCAGCTAAAGAACGTCGCCGTCATCGTCGCCGCCATGTTCATGTACGGCGACGAGGTGAGCACTTTAGAGTGTGTTGGCTACGCCGTCGCCACCGCGGGATTTATCGGGTTCAACCTTGCCAAAGCGAGAGATAACGTTCAGGTCCGAGAGCTCGTCGCGAGAAGAGACGCCGAGAGCGACGCGCGTTCACCCGAGCGCGTCTCCCTCTTACGCCAGAAGAGCAACGCACCACCATTGTAATTCATTCACGAGCATGAGCGCGCACGTCGTACCGTCCGAGCTCTCACGCGCGATTCTTCACGCCTGGAGTTGAAAAAGCCTGGGGTGCTCAGTTTTCATCACGAGTGCCCACCGGCGCGTGCCGGAACTAGGCACTCACTTCCCGTCACACCCTCGCGCGCGGGCGTCGAACGGCCTCGCGCGCGAGCTCGAGCGACGGAGGAATTCACGACCGATATGTCCTTACTCCCAGACCCCGACTCGGACGATCGCGAGCTCGTGTACGAGAGAGATTCGTCGTCGAGCGCGATTCACACACACGCGGAGGGCGAAGGATTCTTTCGTCCGCATCGCGATGTCCCGTTCGCCCGGGCGTTCGTCGCGACCGCCGTGACTACAATGGCAATAGGCATCGCCGCCAGCTTTGGGCGCGCGCGGGATTTCGAGGCGTTGACGAGCGACGCGCACGTTTCGAAATGGTCCAGTTGTCACGATGCGACGACCGGGAACGGCGCGTTGAGACGCTCATTGATGGAGGACGACGACGCGGAGGTGGGACAGGGGCTGCGCATGGCGCAGCCGTTCATTCTGGCGGCGGCGCTAGGGGCGATCGGGTTAGGAGCGTTGGCTTTACACGCGTTTCAGAGACATCCGAGAGCGGCGACGTGGGGAATGATCTACGCGAAGGCCGGTTCGTTGTTCGCGATGTCCATCGCGCTCGCGAGTGCGGGGGCGATCGTTCCTTGTGTGATCTTCGCGTTGTTGGGTGGGTTCTTTTTGTATTGGATGCAAAGGACGAGCGAAAGGGTGGAGCTCGTGGCGAAACTGTTGGGCGCAGCGAGCGCTTCGTTGAAGGACAACCCGCACTTGATCACCACGAGTCTCATCGCGGGCGCGGGCGTGGTCACTTCTATAATCGTGTTCTTCTTCTGTATCTTCGCCGCGTTTGAGAACGGGGGGATCCGGCCTGGAGATTTTGCGACAAGGAGCGGCGACGTGTGCTACGATGGACCCGTGGGCGATGCGTTGACTCAAGTTGTCCCATGTTGTGAGTGGCGACCAGACTCGTGGGTGCCGTGGTACGTTACCCAGGTCATGCTAGTCGCGATGTGGTCTTGGATGATCGCGGCCGAGATTCGCACTTTCGTTATCGGTGGTGTCGTCTCCAGGTGGTACTTTGCCCCAGTCGGGACAACACAATTTGTGGGAACGACTCGAGAGTTCGTCGGTCACGCCTTCGGCCCAAGCTTTGGCTCGCTCGCGTTCGGCGGATTAGTCTTGACTGGGGTGCAGATTCTTCGCAACCTGAACGAGAGGTTGCGGCGCGAGAGTCGAGGCGCTTTAGCGATTTTGGCGTGCGTCGTCACCATGATCATGGATTGCGTTGCAGAGTTGGTTGAGACAGTTACAAAATTTGCCACGATTCAGTGTGCCATCACGGGCGAATCGCTCTGCGACGCAGGACGAGAGGTCACTCGACTGTTAAAGGATAACTTTTTGAGCGCTGTGCGCGTGTGGTGGCTGCCGGAAATGATTTTGAACATGGCAGCGTTCTTCATTTCGGTCTTTTACGGCACCACCGTGGGCATCTTCGTCGACATTGGCGACAGATTCTCGCAAACGACGGCGATAAGCGTAGGATTTATCGCGGGCGTCTCATCGCTCGTCGTCCTTGGCTTCCTGTTCTCCGTCCTTCTTACCTGCGTCGATGCAGTTTTCATTTGTTACGCTCGCGACAAGGATCAAAACACAGTCACCAAGCCAGACATCGTCGAAATCTACGATGAGGTCACAGAAAAAACGCGCGACCCAATCATCGCGGTGGAGGCCGCGGCGGCGACGAGTCGACCGCGCTCGCAATTGCCGAGTGAGGCAGGGGTCGTTTTGCAGCATCCAGGCGCTCCAACAATGGCGTACGGAAGGCCCGATAACTCTCGTTAATGCTACCGAATTTTGTCAATACGATTACAAAGCATGTCATCCCGTGTTCCCTCGCGAGTACGCGTGCTCGAGCTCTCGCCGGAGCCAACGTTCGATGAAATCCGCGTCCTGCGCCTTTCCCCGAACGAGCTCGTCGAACGCTGACTTGGCGGCCTGTCTCTTTGCCACCTTGATAGATTTCGCCTCTCCACTCCCCTTTGTCGTTGATCCGAGCTCGAGTCGCACGCTGAACGTCTGCTTCGCAGGGTCTTGCTCCTGAATCACCCATTTCACGGTGGAATTAACCTTTGGCGCCTGTAACATGCCCGTGAGCGCGCTCGCGGCGTTCAAGTGATCGATCGCTCCCTCCAACGCATGAGAGAGGACGCTCATCGCCCGCTTCATCTTTCGCTGCATCCAACGCTCTCGCACCGCCTCCCGCTCTCGCACGTCAAAATCGTCGAACGCCTTTGTCACACACGCCGGCGTCGCGGAGTCTCGCCTCGACCGTCGTCGCGCCTCGGCTGGTGTAGACGCGTTTGCAAACGACATTGCCCACTTCGCCAAATTGACTTGATCCCCGTACTCCCCGTGCATGCGCTCAAGCACCCACAATCCCAACGCCGCGTCGATCGCGCCGTAATTGATCTGTCGCCGATCCAGCGGCGCCTTCTCCCAGTTCGAAGTCTGCACGCTCTTCGGCTTTTCTGCGGCGTATCCGTACCGCGCGCTCGTCGCCTTCAACCCGTGTCGCTTGATACCGTGCGCGAGCGCCACCACCCCGGTGTCCACGAACCCTCTCGACGCCCACCCGTACCATCGATCGAGATCATGCATGTCGTTCAACACCCCGTTCCCAACCTTCATCGTCGATGCGTCTTCGCACAGCGCTCGGAGCGTCGGCGGGACGCCGCCGTGCGGACCGCTCCGCATCGCACCCAGATGTACCAACACGCATGCGCGCTCGTTCGCCAGCTGCACGAGCGCCGGTGGGTTTCGTTGGCCTCGCGCGTACGACGGCCGCGTCTCGACGTCGAACCCGATGAAGGAAACAGCGGAGTCTTGAGAATCAGACGCACTGGAGGTGGAGGTTTCCACAGCGCGCGGGGCGAAACCGTGCTCCACGAGCGCGCGCTCGGCATCGTTGACGTCGTACACGACGTCGACTATGGATGGAAGGGCGAATGTTTCGTTCGATGACGTGAACGCGCGTGCGGTGGCGCGAAGGATGGAAGGAGGTGGACGCGCCATGAGAGACGCGTCGCGCACTGCGGCGGATGGACCGCAGCGAGGGAGAACGTTTCGATGCGGGTGGTCTAGGGGTTTATTAATCGTTGGGCTAGGTGGACGTGACTACGTGATAGTGGGTGTGGCGCTCAAGCCGGGGCAGATTGCGCGTTGTCGCTCTTTTTCGGGAGCTTGTCCTCAAAAGTAAAGTAGAGCGCTGCGATGAGAAATCCTGCCCCCATGAAAGCGCTCACGATGCCATTTCCGCCCATCGCAAGCCTACTAGTGGCAAAACACATGAGCGCTAAGACCAGGTCGAAACTACCGATCAATTTACGCGCGTTCGCGGGGACCTCCGTCGTGGACGTCGCGTCAGGGGCGATAACGACTCGCGCCAAGCCCATGAACGCCGCATGCCCGACGAACGCCGCCCCGTACCACGCGCACAGCTCCAAAGACTCCGAGCACGGCATAAACGATGTCAACGCCTTCCAGTACGCGTAGAACTCGAACATCATCTTCATCACGACTAGCGCCGCGAACTTTGCCGCGTCCAACTTTAACCGCTCGCTGCTCGAGACACTCGTGAACGCTCGGTGCGCCCGACTGAGCTGCTTCGTCGCCTGCGGGAAAAAGTTCAAGCACGCCAAAACCGTGGCCCCGACCGCGACGCACAATCGTCCGAGTACGAACGACGTCCCGCTCGAGATTATCGGGTTTTGTAGATCAAGCGTCCACATGAAGGCGTTGCACGCCGCGCTCAGCGTGAGCGCCGAGTAGAACAACGCGAGCGGTATCATCACGAGCAACGCCGCCGGGGGCTCACTCGCGGTGCCCGAGGACGCGTGAATTACCATACCTCGCGTTCGCATCTTTGAACGACGCACACGACCGCTTCCGACGCTTTTACGGACGGTTTCGTCGCGAAAACCAACGTTGAAACTCTTCGTTTCGACAGCGAACGACGCGCTCGGGGACGCGATGCTAGCCACGCGCGCTCGAGTGCGAGCGCGCGATCGACTAGAGGTCTCATGCGCGCGAGGGAGGATGATCGCACGCGCGAGGGCGTGCATGAAGCTCGCGGCGACGACGAATGTGGGTGATTTCTTCTGTTGGGGTTGCGCGCCGCTGCACTGGATAGAGGTTCGCGCCGGAGAGCGTGCGCGGTGAGGGCGAGCGCGTAGACGGACGAATGGCGGAGCGTGTTTGATTGTATGATCTGCATTACACGACTGCTGGGGCTAGGTAAATTCACTACGGACGAAGGGCGGTTCGGAAAGCTCGCGCGCCTTCTCTCGCGCCGACTTGAGAACGAAATCCGCCTGCGTCTTCACTTTGACGTGTTTACCAGGAGCCCGGCAAGGTGCCGCGGCCGGTGGCGGCTTCGATGGAGATGATGAGCATACCCGCCATTGCCAATCGCCCGTGCTTGAGCTCGGCGGTCTTGAGGCGGAACTCCTCTTGAGCGTCGGCCTTGGCGACATAGCCGAGCGGATCGAACGCGCCACCCGGGTACATGCGCTTGTTTTGGTCGAGCTCAGCCGAGCGCGCGATCTCAAGGTAACCCATCGCGAGAACTTCGATGATCGTCAACTGGGTGACGGTCAACTGGATCGGGAAGCCCAAGTATTGCGGTTGCTCGAGCTCAATCTTACCGGCGTCCGCCCAAGTGATGCCCGTGGCGGCTTCCGCCGCGGCGGCGCCGACAAGGCCGAGCATGGCCCAGCGAGAGTGAAGCAACTCACACTCGCGGAAGCGCATGATATCGAACGCTTCATCGTACGGCTGCGAAGAGTATCAAAATCAAACCCGTCAGTCTCTCGTCATCTGTATCTTTACACTTCGAACGCTCGCGCGCGCGAACGCTATCTGAGCCAGATATGCACAGTATCTTCTCCACCCCGTCGAGCGCGACGTTCCACACCACGGTAAAACGCATGAATCGAATACGCACCACGATCGTCCGCGCCTTGGGCTTAGAGTCGGCCTTCTTGAGCTTGCCGATCACGTTACCGGACGGGTTCCTCGCCGCGCTCCCGTCGAGGGCGTCGAGGTCGAACTGGAGGTACTCCGCCGGCTTACCGAGCCCGAACGGATCGCTGTTCGTCGGGAACGAATCGATTGAAATTCTCTCGTCAGTCTCCCATCGTTTCCACGTCTCAAAACCCCTCGCGTCACGCGTCCATCGACGCACGCCGACGCGATCGTACGATCCCGCGATCGAGGTCCGCATCGACCACCTCGTCGTCCCTCGCCTCGCCTAAATCGCGTCGAATCGATCAAACCACACGCACAATCCGCGGTCACCCGGAAGAGAACCGTCCAACCACGCCGGACGCACGGCACCCGGGCGCCAAAGCTCACTGCGCGCGCGAAAACGTTCCCCGAGTCAGTCCTCCGTATCCACGCCGGGGCGCGCGCGCGCGATCGCATCGCGCGCGTTTCGCGTGACGCACTCGTCGCCCGCCTTCGGCGCCGGGCCCTTTCGCACCGGTCGCGCGGTCTTCTTCACGGCGGTCTTCACCGGCGCCTTCTTCACGGCGACTTGCTTCGTGGGGGCCTTGGACTTGAACATGATGTGCGCGTCAATGTCGCGCTCGGGGCGACGGAGATCTTTCTCGCTCGGGGGTGCTCGAGATGGCGCGGATGCGCCACATGTTCATAGATATAAATATATTTATTATACGTATTTATATATAGCACGCGTACAGACGCATGGTGTAGATCCATATTAAGATATGTATGAAAATGGTACTGGTAGTATGTACTCATATAGATCATATCTTTCATAACTACACGATGACGTCATATTTATTTTATGACGTCATGTTCGAACGATTTAGTGTCGTCATTACATCATTTATAGAAAGTATAAAATTAAATTCCCCAATCAAGTACTACAATACGACATGAAAACGCCGTGCCAAAAGCGCCGCCGACACCGAACCGGCGCGCGCGCGACGCCTTCGACGCCGCGCACGTCGACGCCCTCGACGACGACGACGACGCCGCGCGCGATCGACCCCGCGATCGCGAATAAAATCCCGCGCGCGATGCGCTCCACCGACCGCGCGACGCGCGCGCCGAGACTTCGGGCGTGGCGAACGATGACGCGCGTGGCCGTGTTCGCGCTCGCGCTCTCGAGCGCGCTCCTCGCGCGCGCGGACGCGGGCGAGGAGACCGCGGTGGATCACATCATCGAGGTCTACGACGAAGACGCGAACGGATTGATCGACGCGAGCGAGTTATCGGAGCTCTTCGAGCGATTCGCCGCGCGCGTGGGAGACGGCGCCGGGGGGTCGGCGCACGCGGGACACGCGGGACACGCGGAGGAACACGCGGGACACGACGACGAGGAGACGCTCACGGAAGTGACCTCGGCGGGCGTGATCGCGGCGTACGCCGGTTTGGATAAGATGCTCAATGAGACGGAGTTGACGCAGGCGTTGACGCTCGTGGCGAGGTGCGCGGCGGAGACGGGGTGCGCGCTCGTCGCGAGCGAGGCGACGGAGGCGGTGACGAAGAAGGAAAAGTATTTCAGTCTTAAAGTGGGGCTCGTGTTCGCGATCTTCGCGGAGGGCTTGGTGGGTGGTATGCTTCCGATGATGGTCACGATGACGCTTCCCAAAGTGCAGCACGCGCTCGAGTTTATGAACTCGTTGAGTGGGGGCGTGTTCCTTGCGAGCGGTTTCGTGCACTTGATTCCGCACGCGCTCGAAGCCGCGACAGAGGCTAAGATCGGAACCAAAGACGAGTACCCGTTCGCGATGGCCATGGTCGTTCTCGGATTTCTCATCGCCTTCTTCATTGAGCGTGTGCTCTTCCACGCGCACTCGCACGTCGTGGAAACCGAGACCACCGGACACGGACACGGACACGGACACGGACACGGACACGACAAGGACGTGGAGAAAGTTCCAGAGGTTGACCCGTTAGCGTGCAACGATTGCCATCACGAGCACGGTACGTCCATTTTCATTCAGACGAGGAAGGCTTTAGTGTTCATGACCGGCGTCGCCCTCCACGCCACGCTCGCCGGGGTGTCTCTCGGCTTGCAGACGTCCAAGTCGAGCATTTACGCCATCTTCATCGCCATCTCCGCGCACAAAGCTGCGGCCGCCTTCTCCATCGGGTGCGCGTTCTTGCGCTGCGGCGTGACGCGCATATCGACGCTTCTTGCGTTCATGACGTTCTTTGCGTGCATCACCCCCATTGGCATCGCCATCGGCATCGCCGCCGGCACGAAGGACAACGCCTCGGTGCGCGCCGTCCTCGAGGGCATCGCCGCCGGCACCTTTGTGTACATTGGTACGGTCGAGGTGATCGGAGACGAATTCGAAACCACCACTGAATCGTGCACTGACGAACACGGTCACGATCACAAGGTCCCGACGCACACGCACGTCGTCCACGAGGCGCCGCGTCGCTCGCTTCGCTTGGAAAAGTTCCTCGCGTACTTCTGCGGCGTGTGCATCATCGTCCTCGCGCAGTTGGGCGTCAAACACGGCGATCACTGAGACCCCGAAGACGCCCCACCCGATACATCGGCATCGACACCGCATGAAAACGACGTACTCTCCGCCGACTTACGTTGAAACGCGTCCACTTTATGTAATAATACAACGCGCGCCCTCTCCTCGACTACGACCCGCGTCCGCGCTCGTGCCCTGGACACGGACACTGCTCCGGATCGTGCACCAAAAACTCCCTAAGAAACTCCTCTAAATCATCCTCACCCCCCACTCCCCGTCCATCGCGCCGCGCGCGCCCCC